CTGGATAGCATTCCTGTTTGGAAATAATTCTACTAAAGACAGAAATCATTACCCTAGCATTGCTACAATAAATAGATTTGCCTTTTCATATTTTATCATCTCACCCCCAAAATTAAATTATCTATTTAAAATGAAATAACATATTCAATCAGTGCAGTGGAAATTAAGTTTAGCAACTCATTCTGAGCAATGTTAATTCACAGGTTACGATCAATTAGATATCACTTCACTGCAGTTCACGTAGATCTTTCGTTAACATCGTGTCCCATGCTAACATACATTACTTAGGGGCAGAAGGATCTAAAGAGCAATTTCACATCTTAATGGGAAGTAAAATGTCGCAATACAGTAAAAAATGTAAGCAGCAGGTTATTTAACAACATGCACACATAGCACATCAATCTAGCAAGCTAATATTTACCTGTTTTCCCCACACAATTAACATTTTGAGTACTTGGTGCTTATGAAAACGTCACCTTTTTTGGTGAAAACTACCTTCTATAATATCCATAAAATTGTGACAAATGCTACACAAAATCTTTAACTGTGAAAGACAAAGAAATTTGAGCAAGCTGCTTCAACACGACCTTGCAGTTACACTGCTCATTTAATACAGAGCTCTCTCCAGCATGTACGTATCTAATGGAAAACATTCCCCGTGGAAAGAACAAAGCTGCCGTAATAGCAACGTGGTCACACAAATACATAATATCTATAAAAAATAACTGTTCGTAAAAGGACTGGTCATTTCGATGGTTGCAACAAACATATCAAATCGCTCTATTTTGTCACTCTGATCCAAACTGCTGACTTGTGAGCCATGACTAAAAGGTGGCCCATTAAACAGTTAAGCATCATTATGGAAAGCTGCTTATACCAGGCATCATCACATTTCTATGAATATTGTTCCCATAGACTCTAGAGCTTTACCACATCTTTACTTACTCAAAGACATCATGCCACTTTTCCTAACGAGTAGTACCTTGTTGACTAGACTTATTAGCATCAAGGTTTGCTCTGAACAAAACATCACTTCACCCCAAGTAACAGACAGAATTAGGGTTAAAAATAGTGCTTGAATTTTGCTATCTGCTGCATGCCCCTTAAAAATAATAAAAATATGGAAAAGAATTGCCAATACTCTGATAGGATTCATTGAAAACAAAAATCCATAAGGATCCTTGAATGTGAAATACATATTAAAACTTTAATATAGAAGCTGAAGTTTGAATAAACACTAGTTTGTTTTTTGTAAGATTTATAGCCAGAGCTTCAACACTTCCATTTCAAAGGCTGAAGTGGAAAAAAAACCCAAACCAAAACATTTAGAAGCACTTCCCCAGAAACACATTTTCTTAAGATTCACTAATATAGAAGGATCCATAGTTTTGGTTTTCAGCATTTATCATGAGACAACAAAAACAGACAACAAAATAAACAAAAACAGAGATCAAAAAAAGCAACCCTATACAAATTCCTAATCACAAAAATACAATGTTCAAAAATGTTTGGGGTTGGTTGTTTTGTTTGTTTTTTGGGTTTGTTTTTTTTTTTTTTTTGAAGCAAGAAGAAATGTAGTATAAAACCCCCAAACACCTCTTCTGCACATACATAAGAGGGTAAATTTGGAATTATGTAATAATCAAGCTGACTATACACTACCAGAATTAAGTCTAGTTAAAAGTTATTTGCAATATACCTGATTCAATACAATGTAAAACTTGAAGGTACGCAGTGACAATTTTTTCTCATCAATTCATGGAATATTACATGAATAACTAGCACAGATTGATTATGGAACTGAAGGTCTGCAGGACCAACAGTCAGAGACGGACCCCAAATTCCCATATGGCATCAGTGAAAATGAAATAAGATCAGCTTTTGAATTGCAACACAGATGTACTTCAACAGTTAAAAACAAAGCACAAATATGTACTTACAGAAGAAAAAAAAGCTGCTGAAATTACTTTTTTTAAAGCTCGGATCAATGACCAAAGCATCTTATTTTCTTGGAAAAATCTTCTATTTTCATTGTCAAGGAGTTTGTAAAACATTTATGTCAGGGCAGAAAACTATGCCCACACAAAAACTTTCAAACCAGACCCAGCGCTAAGTTCATTTTGCATTATTTTACACATTCATTTATCAACTTTATCAGCAGTTTCCTATATTATTTATTTACATTATCTAAAAAAAATCAGCAAGTGTGTAAGACTAACTACTATATCTGTAGTACAAGTATTTGTACATTTAAAAAAAATAAAAAACCTATGTATTGTTTTATCAAACAGTAAAATATACTAGGAATAGGATAAAGTATCACTGCGACCTAAAACAAATATACCATTTGGCCACAAGAATTAGCTCCCAATTCTGTAGGTCTCACCTTATACACGAGAAATAAGCAAATTCATTAGTTGCAAGGATTTATAAGGATTGTTTTTTCTTCTGCTTCCCTTCTCCCTCCCACCGCAATGGCATTTCTGCTTCTCTAGTTTATGCTGTAATAGAACATATACTAATAAACTTTGAAGTCTTTCCATCAAACACACCTGACTCTTTTTTTCTTAGCGTGGCACTGTCACTGCCCTGGCTTGTGAGTAAAGCCCTTGTTGGCTGCCCGCACTGGCATGCTACGTACGGCTTACAAGGGTCCATGGGTAAGTAAGAAGAACAGTGTCATTCAGCAAACGAGTTTGGTGACCTGCAACTTACCGAGCATCTCTCCTCTTCTACATAGAAAGCCAGAGTATTAATAGAGCACGCTACCATTAAGATATATTTTGATTATTTTGATTTTAGTTCTAGTGTATCAATCCCTTCTTTAAATAAAATCATGACTGCCAGCATTTACTGTTAGGATCCCTTTCTAGATCCCATTTAGGCTAATTCCAAACAAAACAGAATGGAATTATTTAGTACAAAAAGTTTCCATTATTTATCCCTTTCATGAATCATTTAAAGACTTCATGGCAGCAATGAAAACAGTCATGTTGATCTCACAAAGAGCAGACAATATATTATGCATGCTGCCCACTGATTTATCCTTTCAGAAAGTCTCTCGCAGGCCACTTACCAATACTGCCACTCACTGTCTAAAATATACATACAAGTGCTCCTAGAATGTATAAATAAACAATAATTGCCTATGGTTAAAACCAGCAGGCTGTTAAAACCAATATCCCCTGTGACATCAGCTGGTACCAGATGCTTCAGAGCAACGCACCCTCGAGTGGGCCACTCTGAAGCAGTACAGTCGTTACTGAAGAGTGTTCCTGAACTCTCTCTCAGGCTGGCTTACCTGTGCAAGTATTTGGCCTTCATCATGCTTAAAACAAAATTCCACCTCACCCCACCAACTATACACATTGTCCATGCAAATAGCTATTCACTTTTTAAAAAAATCCTATTTGGTCTTCAATCAGAACAATTTTGTAGCAACAAGCCTTACAATACTGCCTTTGAGGAAGTCAAGGACAAACTGCACACCACGTAACTTCCCTGAGGCACTGGAGCAGGTTGCCTGCCAGTCTAAGACCACTAGCAAGGTCTGCCTACAACACCGACAGCAGTTAGCTTCTGAAGATCAGAACTCAGGTTTGGTTCTAGGAGAAATTCCTATTTCAAGAAAGCAACTTCACAAGTACAAGCAATGTCAACAAGTTCCACAGAATTATCCACATGCAAATTATTAATGAATAAGCACTTACAGAATCAAGATCTTAGCATTTACAAAAAGGATCATTTTTGCTTGTATTTTTTAACAAGTAATGGAAAAGATAGGATGAATTTTTAAATGTTCTAAGGGCAATTTTATTGCCACTATAATAACTCCACTTAAATAATGGCCAGTTATTTTCCAATGAATAGTGCAAATAAATATTTTTAGTCAATTATCAGGATGATGTCTATTGCATTCTATGGTAAAAGAAAAAAGCTTAGAAAAACTCCACCCAAACCAAAATCCAACTTAATCGAAACTCTCCAGCAGCAACAGCTTGTACTGTGCTATTTAACTGGCTTTACTCCAGTAGCTTAAATTTAAGAGTCAGCTTTATATAGAAAGGCAGTAAGTGAAAACTGGAAAAAAATCCCACACCTACAGCTGTCACCTAAAATTAAACACAACATTTTTCTCCAAATCCTCAGTGTACTTTCAAAAAGGTGCCATGTGACCATATTTAGCTACTGCACTGTAGTTAAGAAAACGTTTAATCTACAACTATAAACTACATTCTTTCATTGAAGCATGTTAAAAAAATTAACAAAGGTGAAAAGCAGGTATAATTAATCCCCAGTCTTGAAACAGTAATTATTTATTTCACTTTAAGAGCAATATATAACTTAGGAACATTTTGTTGTTATATAACATTGCCCCTGTTACAATTTGCAACACCAGCAAAAAGAAATAAACTACGTATATTTTGGAGGGGGGAAAAAACCCCACCCTAAAAGACGGACTGGTGTTAGATAGAATAAAGCCGCGGAGACAGATATGTGCTGTTGGAATAGTTATCAACAGGCTGGCTTGTGCAAAACAGTAGGTGACCTTAACGATCCCCAAAGAGATTGATTAAATGGCTCTAATCCAGTTTAAAATGCTTATCATTTTACTGAGATACTCAGCAAACATGGTAACAACAATCCATGCCTGTAGCAATTTATTTATTTTTTAAAATTAGAGCTGGGTCAAATTTCAAAGCTGTTATAACATGTAAATTATAAAGAACCAAAAGTACTTTAAAAAAAAAAAAACAATTACCAAGAAGTATATTCATAATGTCACATCACATACCATTCCTCATCAAAAAAGCCATACATTAAGCAAATGTACTTATTTCAACAACCAGGATGAGGCGTTAAGAATAGATAACTGGATGGTATTCTTGAAAGTTTACTTATTTTACTTGTATTAACATAGTTATAGAAAAGGATTAACTATTTTTGGCACATATAAAATAAACAGCATGCAAGAAAGTAAACAATAAAAATGTACTTACGAAATCAAAGTCTCCATCTTGAGGGACTTTCCAGTTATCAGGGAAAACATTTTTGGATATGTGGTAAGGTTCATGCATGTTCTGATTACAGTTTTCAGGGCTTTTGTTCTTGGAATCTTGTTTATCAAAGTAGTCCATGAAAGAAGGTCTTTGAACTTGCGGTGAAGTAGCATTTCCTTAGTTGAAAGAAAAGAGAAAAAAAAGTTAGAACTATTTAACATTTACAGATTTACTCTACTATAAAATAAACTCCATCTATTACTTTTCTTGGATTACAGATACAGTCATCTGTATGTGGTGCAAGCCTCCATTTGTCCCCTAAGGATCTCTCGCATAAAAGCTCATAGCCGAAGAATGATATTTTTGTAGCAAGATACAATGCGGAGAAATGCTCAAGACATTTCAGAGTTGCACATGGAAATAATATTAAAAGTTACTTCCTGCACTATCTATTTGTTGTTCTAGAGGCTGAACACCACGAGGTGCTAAGCTAACCCCCTTTGGGTGCTGAATGCCCCTAACATCAAGGTCTGGTCCACAGACACTTGTAGGAAAGCAACAGAGTTCCTTCAGTTTCACCAAAGGCAAGATTTAAAAGTTATTTAGAAAAAGAACTTGCAAAAACCAACCATACAAACTGTGTCTAGACCCTGCTTAACTAGATTCACTGCCAATGAGGATTCTCAACAAATTCTGGGATCCCACTCTCCAGGTGGCTGCAAAGCACGCTGTCTCCATGGTGTGGAGACCCTGGGGGCTTTGGTCTTCATCTACACCACTACAGAAACTTTACGAAGCAGATTGAGATAAACACGAACACATGTTATCCTTCTCATGAAATGAAATGTAAAAAAAAAATTATCTACAACCCTGAATGACTGAAATTTGCTGTCATTTGTAGGATTTCAAAGCAAGTTCTTTACTAAGTAGAACAATAAATAAAACATAAGAAATGCTTTAGTATTTCTACATAACCGTCACCTCAGAGACTATATTCTGTATAGCACTGACTCACGAAACATGTAGTTGCCTGCAGTGTAACACATGCTGCATAGTGAAATGTGAAATACAGTTCCACAAGTAAAATATGAAGCAGGACAAGAAATATAAACAGCCAAGCTAAAACAAAACCAAAACAAAACAACGATGGAGAACTACACTTTTTAATTATAAACATAATAAAATAATTAGGAATTTTTATTTGAACTACTTAACAAGTGAAATGGATAACCACTAGAAACAGCTTTTGAGCTTGTGCTTAACATGATCACTAGGACTTAATGCTCTTCATATCTGGCTTTGTGTTTGTTTTTATTAATTCACTAAGTGGGCTCTTTTTGGTCTCTTCGTCTTTCACCTCTTATTTCATCATCTCTTCCTGTGGTAACCCATTCCTTCTGCCTCATGATTTTCTGAATTCATCCTAATTTTGCTGCATGGCTACTGGTAGCCTATTTTTTTCATTAACGCTTGCTTTTGTACTGCCATCTTTTATGACTTGTTCTTTTCTTTCTCTTTTTCTACATCATTCTATTCTAGTCAGATTTCTTCTGGTTTTCTGAACGTGGAATTCTACTGCCTTGCTTATGCTCTAGGCTTTACTGCACTTGACTCCAGCTGCTTCTGTTCAGATCCATGACAATTCCTCCATTCAATCTGCCATGTTTCCATACACACCTTCCCACAGTTTTTTAGCTGTTTTTCTCTCGGGTGTTGCCACACTCTTTTCTAATCCCAGACCATAGCTAACTCTACTCACCATCTTTTAATTAATGACGACTACAACCATAGAAAAACATTCAGTGAACTAAACTCCAGGTTGAATCTAACAGACCACACAGCAGGTATCTCTTCTCCAGAATCTCCCAAGTTTGCCCCCACTGAACTCAAGATCACCTGAATGAGGTTTCTGGATCTCTTGAGTCTGGGACTCAAAGAGAAGTAAACAGCAAGGATGCCAAATAACTACAGAAATAAGCACTAAAGAGAAAAAATGGGAGAATCTAAACTTTAGCCAAGCATAAATTTAGAAAACAGTTCAAAGAGAAGGTAGAAGAGTAAAGGGAGTGGAATTAGAAACAGAAATACAGTGCATTTTCTTCATACAAACTTCTTATTACTTGTTGATTGCTCCCAACAACCCTGAACTATTTGTACCCAAAAGATAGGACATCACATTGCCGACCCTTCACAACCAATATTTCTCTTCTGCTGAGATGGTTGTACTTATGTTTCATCCTTGAGACATACTTATAAACAGGAAGATTACCAGTGTCTCTGTTAGAAACCCTAAAGTACCAAAATGTTGGCCAATTACAGGTAAGATACTCTCCCTCCTCTCATGTAACTGAAAATACTAAATATTTTCCAAGCAGTGCTCTTAAGTTTTAGAGCTATTTATAAATATCTTCCTTATACATGCAATAGAAGACTGCCTACATAAGTAAAACAAACCAACCCCTCCAAACTCCTTGCTATCAAACGCATATTACAGAACGTGGCTCAACAGGCCTGAAATTACAGCAAAATCAGCAAAGCACATTTCTCTTACACTTTGAGAACTTGTTCTATTTGTTTTGATAAATAAGAATTTAGAACTCACTTCTGATTCTAATTTAGTATACAGTTAGTTAATGCATTTAAAAGAACAACAGCTGCTTTTATTTTTACAAATAACTAAATGAAAAAAGAGACTCTTTTTTAGATCTCTAACTTAACACAAACAAGTTTAGTTAGTATTTTGTGGAAGATGGGATAGGTTGACACCTACTAGCTTAGAGGCCCTGTGAAGGTTCCTACCTCTTTCATATTGACTTTAGAAAACACTCAGGCTCTTTGTACCAGAGTAAACAGATGTAGGTGGCACTTTTTTTTTGCAAAATACAAGGTTATTAGAAGATTGTTCTGGTCTGAAGGCACTTTTTCTAATTTAAGGACAATTAATTCACCCAACTATCCGGTAAGTTACTTTTTACACAAACTATACAGTTGCCACCAAAAAATAAAAATCTGCAGCACAATCAGTATCACTCCACATTTGCCCTAAAAACCTGTTGTGCAACAGACACTTCTGTTCTAGAAGGATTTGGATTTTCCAGTTGTTCTCATTTTAGTTTGCTCTTAGTTTCAACATTCAAGAACATCAGTCTCTTTTATCATCCCTATACTTGCCCACTCCAGGACTTCAAGATGGCTTTAGGAAGAAAGTCACAACAAAACCAGCACTCCATGGAACACAGAGACCACCATGGAGATTGAAAATGTATGTTCTACCCCAGCAATACCCGACAGGAATACAGCCAATGGGTATGTCCCCAAACAGCCACATAAGAGAATTTTTTCCAAAAAGTATGCTGGACAAAAAGAATGAGGCAATGACATAACATACCATCAACTCTATTACACTGTTTCAAAAACATGTCATAGCTAAAGCAACACATTTCAAAATAAGAAGGAATGTACATTCCATTCTAATGAATGTTTTGATCAAATTCAGCTGACGTCATCTATAAAGAAAAAATGCTTTTGTAGTGATGTATTTCCAACAGAAGAGTACTATATTAATAGTTAATTGTTTTTAAATCTGTTTAAAAGCTCTGTTGCCAGTTGTTAAGTTCCTATACTGTGTGTCAGTCTGAGCCACATCAATGTTCCCCCATGGTGGTCTGGCTAACTCAGGGGCAGCTTCTTGGCAAAAAGCGTGCTTGCCTTACTTTGTCAGGTGGAACCCACTCCCCCATGGTGGTCTGGCTAACTCTGGGGCAAAAAGCATGCTTGCCTTACTTTGTCAGGTGGAACCCATCTCTCCACAGCAGTCTCTGATCCTCAAAGAGGATAGGGGGTGGTGGTGGTATTTTGTTTGGGGTTTTTTTACAGTCTCCTCTAGGAAATCTCTCGCTGTTACTACCAGGGCACTGGAGCTCTTCCCAAAGAGGACAGGGGGTGGTGGTGGTATTTTGTTTGGGTTCTTTTTACAATTTCCTCTAGGAAATCTTCTCTCCCTGTTACTACCAGGGCACTGGAGCTCTTCCACAGCTGCAAATCTACAGAGAAAAGCTTTCCTCCTTTTGCCAAAAGCCAGAAGCTTTCACAGCCTTCCCCATCCTGGGGATCTCCATCTGCCACTTCACTGAAGACAGGGGGTGGTGGTGGTATTTTGTTTGGGTTCTTTTTACAATTTCCTCTAGGAAATCTTCTCTCCCTGTTACTACCAGGGCACTGGAGCTCTTCCACAGCTGCAAATCTACAGAGAAAAGCTTTCCTCCTTTTGCCAAAAGCCAGAAGCTTTCACAGCCTTCCCCATCCTGGGGATCTCCATCTGCCACTTCACTGAAGAACATTTCCAGCTGCTGCCTCTTTGGTGACGTTAGGGGATCAGGCTCTCCTGTCTGCAGTGCTTCTGCAAAGACCCTGTTGGTATCTTCATTCCCTCAAAATACATTGCTTTGTCACTGTTAGAGGGAGCAGCTCTATTTCAGTCAGCTTTGAGCCTTCTTTGGACTACAAAGGCTTATAAAACAACATATACAACTCAGGCTTCATACATTCCTACCGCTGCTTTCTCACCACACAAGGTGGCCTGCAACACAGCAGCAGTAATTCCCCTGGGAAATGGGAGACAGGAGCTTTGAATATTATAAGGTTGAAGATCCCAGTGACTTCTGCACCCAAGTCTTCATTCACATGCAGGCCTCATACAGTATTGTGTTTGGTTTACGTATACCTATTTATCTGAAATCATTGCAATCGGTGTGTAAATGGAAAAATCACATTTTTCTACCAGCTGAAGCCTTCACAGAATTTTGAAATACTACGAACCCAAGCTTAAAGACTTTTTAATGGGGAAAAGAGTTTCCTGTACAAAACACTGCTCTGCCTCCTGAGAATGAGACTTGTAAAACTTTTGTTCTATTTTTCCACCTTCTGAAGAAGAAAAAAATACTCAATGACACTACTATTATAAACCCATTTGTTCATTCCAGCTGAGTTATACTTTATCTCTGCTTCCAGCAAAACAAAGCAAATCCATGTTAAGCTAGCATTTTGCAACAGCTCTTGAAGCAGAATTGCCAACATGATGTTTTTCTTTGAAAAAAAGAAATCACATTCGTAAAAGATAATACTAGTGGTATAAATTAACAAATTTATTACCAACCACAGGAGAGGGCTTGAGAACTGGTATAGTCTTGGAAACACCTACCATCTCTTTCTATATATTCAGGACTAAAGTGCTAATACACCTGCATATGGCATCAAGCAAATCATCTTAACATGGGCACAGTAAATATGCTTGAACATGAAATACATCCACGGTACAGCACCACTGAAACCAGCCCATAATTAAGCTTCCGTGCTGAATTCCTATAGGACCTGGGTCAGAGGTTGTTATACAACACATATCAACAGCTTTTGCTTTTCATTTGAAAAACCAGCTGTAGGACTTAGGCCTAAAGAGTTACGAAGCATCACTCCAGAGCTACCCAAGCCTCCACCTCCTATGACAGAGGAGACTGATTTATAGCATGGCACAATCTCTTACACTGGATGGACCGAAATCACCACAAAATAATAAATAAGTAAAAACAACTCAGGAATTCTCCTTTCAAAATGTAGGTTCTACAGGATGGTGCGTGTCCCACTGTAACCAAGGATGCCATAAGTTCAGCAAGCAAGTGCTGGAACCAAACCTGTTGCTCGCCAGCTTAATGATGAAACCACCAGGCTACCTCCAGTTTGCTGGCTTTCCTTTGCTGGTGTCTCAAAACAGTCACCTATGGGGGAGGAGGCAGGGGAAGGAATCTTCTATTTGATAAGAAAGAAAAATGTTTAAGAAGTATACTGACTAAACCCGAAACTTTTCATGTCTTACAGGGCAAATACTAATCAAACAAAATCTGACCACTTTTCTATATTCTCTCTGTCAAATGCCACTTCATTAATTCACTGTGCTCTTCTTTTAATATATTCAGTACCAACCATGAACTATCCAGAAGCTTCATGGGAGTTTGAAGCAACACTTAGAAACCCAGAACAAGTCCAAATGGCAAGAAAAGGCAACCTGTGTGCCAGCTCAAAGCAGACAGCAAATATAAATTTAACAGGTTAAAAAAAAAAAGGGGGGGGGTGTAGAGGGGATAGGTAACAAAGAGGAGAAAGGAGAACAATCAGAAATACTCTTAGTGAACCAGAAAGCCCTAACACCAAGCCTTGCTGAAAAGCCACAAATGGAATGAAAGTAAGCTGGTCTGAATACTGGTCTCTGAGCCGAGATACGGAAAATCTTCTATATGAAACTAAGTACAACCCAAGCAACTGGAGAAAAGTTGTGCTACCTTACATCAATCCCACTTTTTCTTCCACTCCACAATAAACCTCCTACAGTTAAGCTCTGTCCTCCCACCTCTCTGTATTCTGCATTTTCTTCCCTCCTCTGAGGCACACACTGCACAGTCTATGCTCAGAGCATGCACAGGCATACCAAGCAAGAAGGCACAAATGTTGTTTATTGCTAGGCTGTGTATTGTATGTTGGGGTAGGATGACAGGCCTCTTTTTGTTCCAAATCCCAATTTTATCTGGGCACAATTCCCTATTTGTGAAAAAAATATGTTTTCAGTTATTTTCTGTCATGACTCCCAGAGGCCTCTAAGCATGGGCACTTATAAATAAAAACTTATTATTGTTTCTTATTTTGTCCTTGGGCAGGGAAACAAAAAGAAGGAAACAAAACGTGAAACTAAACACAAGAACAATTTAAAAAAAAAACAAACTAGTTTGTCATAAATATTTTGTGTCTCTAGGAAGGAAATTAATTCCTCTTCCCTAGTTAGCTTAGTTTACTTCTCAAGCTTCTTGCTTGCAATGTTCTGTTATTCAGAAGGATCAAAGAGCACTTTTAAGCTACCTGTTCTGATTTATTACAAGCAAATCACACAAGCAGCTAGAAAGTGCCCACCCTGCCTACAAAGGTACATTGTAAAAAGCAACCAGTCTCCAAAAGTTTGTGTCTTTGTCCAGCACAAAGAAGCATAAAATCTGTGCCTACCTCTCAGTGACAGTAAGGATTTCTGTGTCCCTTCCCGGTGACATTTATTTAGGACACTTGCTATTGCTCCTGCTTCAGCCAATAGCACATAAATCACAGAACCAGAGGAGGACCAGCTACAGTAGACACGATTTATATTTATTTTCAGCTGAGAGATGGGGAGGTCCCATTCTTGAATTATTTCTAGCTTATAATCAATGGGTGTCTAATTCAAAAACACAAGAAAGTTCTGCAAGTAACTGCTGGAACCAAACCCGTCACTTGCCAGCTTAACGATGAAACCATCGCTTGCCATCAGGCTCCCTCCAGTTTGCTGGCTTTCCTTCACTGGATTTACAGGTCTCAAGACAGTCACCTGGGGGAGGCAGGGGAAGGAAACCTGCAGTCCCAAAGGTTATATATTCTTACTTGACAAGAAGGAAGAATGGGTTTAAGAATTATACTGATTAAATGCTAAAGTGTAGAAAGGTAATTCCCTAACTACAGATTGTTACTGGAATCAATTGAAAATGGAAAACGACAGCAAATTTTAAAAACAACGTCTCCAGCAACACAGCAGACAAACAGGACATGGATAAAAGATTGCAGTGCAAATCTAGTAACGCTTTTTTTGATCTGTTTGGTGTACTAATAGCTAATACTAAACAGGTATTCCTTCTCAGCACATATAAAAGCTACATGGATAATTACTAAACGTGAAGTGACTGGAAAGGTCACACAAAACCCCACTTCATAGTATTTCCACCCCAAGTATTACTTTATTATCCTTTACTCCGAATTTGCTTGTAATGTCTTTTCTTTGCATTACTCATCTTTTCCTTAACTTGTTGAAATTGATGAGTTTGCGATTGCTTGTACCAACCCTCCACTAGCCTCACAGTTTAATAAGCAATATTTTGTTTCAGCATGAAAATAAAGTACATACCGAGTGTTGCCATGAGGCAAATCATCGTACTTAAACGAATCACTAATCAACAGGTATGTTTGCTATCTTATTACTGTAAACACCAGAAAAAACCCAAACCAACAAAAAGCCCTCAACAAAACTCCTCCTTTCCAATCTGCTATACATTAAACCGCAAAGAAAACATACTCCTGCTTTGCACCTCCAACTAATCTTGCACAGATTACATGAAGGTGTATAGGTGCAAATGCAACTTTGTTTGCTATAAAGCACTCAAATTTATTTATTTATTTGGCACTAATTTCCACTCTTGAGACATTATCTTTAGTTATTACTTCCCCCCACCCCAACTGCCTGGAGTTAAACATTACATTGTGTCTCATGAAATCAGGCACCTACAGCTCCGGTTAGATTAATCGATTGATGCTGCCCATTCCAGTAAATAACTCCATTAAATTCAGGGGGCCTCATTCTGCAGTAGTCTTCAGCCAAATAATGAGCACATCAATATATAGGTACATAAATTAACTATTTAACACATGTGTATTTATGCACATTTCAGTGTAACTTATAATTTTACACTTAAAAATACCTGCATTTTTTTTCTCTGTTATGTACTCCCTCACAAGCTAATGAAGTCCATTTGGACTTTTTACTTATGTTTCAATGATCTTTTGATCATTGCCTTAAATCAAGCATTACTGAATTACATTCCAACATATGTTCAACTAAGTCATAAAATAGAAATTTGCTAATTGATCATGAGTTACAAAACCATTTTGCAGCAAGATGTGTTCTGATTGCTGAACCCATGGCGAGCCATGAGTTCCCAGGACCGCTAACACTGAAGCAGCAGCTCCTCATATAAGCACATCACTTCAGTTGAGCTCCAAGGAACTGGTCCAAATGCATGTGAGTCAGGAGGCAAAAAGCAAGAGACAAGCAGTAGCAGGAATTCACAGAAGGCTATAACTATAAAGAGCACTTAGAGACACAAATACCCCTCTCCTATTTTAACCACAGCACATGATGCTTAAAAGCCACTGATGCCACAACGTTCTCAGGCAGTATGAGAAAACATAGCACATTATTAAAAAAAAAGTAAATTAACAACATACTTTTCATGGTCCCATCTTCTTCTTCATCATCGTCGCTATTTATTACCATGGTCCCCAAGTCCGATTCTAACATAGTACTATTGTGTTCAATCATTGTCTGAGCGCCTTCACTCATCGTGCTTGTGGCCCTCATGGTACCAGCACTCTCCGAACTGGTCTTCACCATGGTGTGAGAGTCCAGCTCATCTTCATCCTATAAAGAAACATTTGTCAGAATGCAGCAGATCATTTAAAAGAAAGCAAAGTTAAGAATCAATCATTTAGATGCTTATTCATTAGTTTTATATCTTCACGTGACGTAGTTGTACTGCTAGGGTTCCAGGTTTAAAACTTTAAGAGAGACCACAAAATAATGTTCCATAAAAAAGAAGAATAAAAACTTACTTCTTTCTCACAGAGGTACAGCAGGGTGGATATACCAGAAATGTGGCCCACGCACCCACTTTGCATCAGCAGCCACTTTTGAGTAGCTCAGTATTTTCATGACCCATTATACCTCCCTGGGTTCCAAAACCAGTACCACATTCTATAGAAAGTGATTTAGTTGTTTTGCAACGGACTATCACCAAGGATTTGTGCTGATCACCCTTAACTAAATATCATGCCCTGCATCTTACATTATGCACAGCACCCAGATGACAGACCCTTGTTCAATTTAGGTATTAAACAATCCTCCAAAATAGTTTTGGAAGGCCACCTCAGAAACAGAAAAGCAACTTGACTTACTTCAAGTACTTACTACTTTTTCAAAACCTCTGTCACAAGAGTGAGCAAAATAACTTGTTGATACTATGTAGAAAAATATCTGGAGACTTAAGTCCTAAGTGAGTGGGGGGGCCAATATCATGAAGAGATACAATACCATTTTGAATCAGTGACAATAATGAGCCAGAAATGTGAAACTGGGAACTAATGACAATCCGGTTAATGAATTATAAAATGTATACAGCATACCAATATTTAAAAACATTAATGGGAAATCCCACTCTTTTCTGAATTCTGATCTAGATCATATGCACAACATCACAACATTTCAGGAATAATGTGATGGACTATACCCACTTTCTATGAGTAAAATCTATTATCCAACCAAACCAAAAAGAAACCAACAAAACCCCAACCAAACAAAAAAACCCCACCCAAGCCCCAAAGCCCTCCAACGTCTGGCACTTTCTATTTCTTACTGAACTCATTCCTTTCCATTCCTATTATTCCCGGACACAGCAGACAATTTGCCTCTAGTACAGACACGTGCGCACGCACCAGCTACATTGCCTGAACGCCTGCTTCCCTAATGGTTGGTCTAAGCAGATACTGAGAACCGCAGTCAGTAGCAATACACAGACACCAGCTCCCAAAAATTATTCTATTATGTCTCAACTAAGAGACACAAAAATAGATCTGATTTTGATTTAGACAGCCTGGCTAACAGCATAACGTAGTGAAATAAGGATATAGATCTACATCTGTGATTAAAATTTCAGATGCCAAAAGAATCATTCTTTTCCGGATAATAATTTGTAAAAATATTCTATAGTTCTTCAGTTGCGTCCTTTCTGGGTTTTTAGTTGCATTCCAAAACACTATATTTAATATCCTACCCTTTTAAAAATTATAATATTCCCAAAGATACAGATAGTTTAACAGCTACAGCACTAGAGGACTGTGCCAGCAAATAACAAGAATATTTTAGTATTGCTCCTCCTGGTGGCAACTTTAATTCTCTTCCACACGCCCACCTCCCACGTCCTTGCTGCCCCCAGAGGTTTTTACAAGTTATATTTTACCCTAACAAGGCTACTCAGAAAGAAAAGCCAAAAAGTGTCTTTTTTACGTTGCATTTTAAAAGTGCCAGAACAATTAAGTGATTATTTCCAAGTGCTTCTTTCAGTACTGCAACGCAATGCAACCCTGACCCATGACGTACTGCTGTTTCTCCTGTTAACAGCTACAAATGGGGCGTCTCGAACATACAGGCAAATCTCCGAGCTTAAGGCACGGTTACGTTTGATTTACAGATTTGCTTGACTAATATTAGTACCCACTTGCAGAGCATACATGGTCCTAAACTTACTAAAATTGAAATCGGAAATGAAACAAACACTGTCTCGAGACCTGGGACCTTTATTTCAGAAGTCAGTGAAAAAAAAAAGTGATGGCTAAAAATAAAAACAAGTACGAAATGGAGTTCTAAGTGACTGTTTTCCTATCTTCTGCTTCATTAAAAACACTGATATTTTATGTCTCTGGGCAAAGTGAACTGTTATCTTCTAGTGCCTAGAAGACTAAGGATCACAAAAGCCCAGCTCAGGAGTAACAGAACAGCTGTCCCAAAAAGTGAAGTACACGACAATTTTGATCAATAGTGGTTGCCCTAGATCAGGAATGATGTACTGAGAGAGCGCAATGTAAGGTTTTTTTTTCGTGCCTATGCATGCCCCAAAATAATGAATTTTCTGGGTTAAGCCAGATTGCTTCCAGAAGTATCATTCCAGCATTTCTCACAAATATGAGACTTAGCTAATACGCAGTAGACTATGCTGGATCTGAAAAAGTAACTTTATAAAAATATCCAGTGGGTGCAAGTTACGTAAGTACACATTTACACGAAAGATGAAAGCAACTCCTTCGTACAAATTCTGATTCATGCTTTATAGTTCATAAATATTGATGCAGAACTTATGATCTGTTGTTATAAAAATTAAACTCACTGATTAAATAAAAACAAACACACTCTTAATTTTAACCAGGAAAAAATTATAAGGTATTAAAGCTGAAGTGTCATGTTCTCATGCTGTTTATGAAAACAGAGCCAAGAATCAAGCAATAAAACCGACTAACTCTGAAATTTAACTGTCTGCTGTTCTCTTGTGTACAAGTAACAAGCACCAAGCTTGCATTTGCCAGGGGTTTCTGGTACACCAGCAGACAGCAACAGAAAGAGCACACTAGTATCTCTTGAAATGCTACAGAAAATACAATAAACTACAGAAACTGAACAACATTACAGTGTAATTAGAGCAAGAACAAGTAAAACACTGCCAGTAGCCTGCAACCCTATGGGAGTAACTGTTTGAATCTCCTTATTTACCAAAATAAATTAGAAGATTAACAAAACTAAGCCCTAATGGATGGAAATGCAATCATAGAGACTTGATTATCAGGAGAGTCGATTCAAAAAGACTTCAGCGGAAACAACACCTAAGACTTCACAATGTGATCGTAACGTCAAAGTTATCATCACACGAGAAGCTTTCTCAGAACAGACGGCCTTGGACATCACACCCGCGTCTCCACCATGATAGAAGCGAGTGACCTGCGCTGATAAAGATTAATGCATTTTTTCTGTTGCATTTTTAACATTCACAGGAAAAAAACGGGATGAAGACAGATACAGAAAAAACTAAACAAGACTAGTAAATACTGCAGCTTGCCTTTAAATCCCTAACTATGGTTCGTGCATGTAACAGAAGAGCACTAGAGGGCACCAGAGACAGCTAACTGGGCTCCAATACAGTAAAGGAAGATTTACATGCTGGCAAAATTTAGTATCCTGTAAAATCATTTCATTTACTATTAACACCTCATCATCACCTTTGAAAAATGTGGCTGTAGTCACAGCTATCTTTTTGTAAAAGCACTGTAGTAGCTACATAAACACATAATATAGTTTGGTCAAGAAGAAGGATTTTGTAGAAGTTCCTACCACATACAAAGCCCAACTACAACCCGAGTATACGCTTAATACCGAGCACATATTTAAGTTTAGACTCATCAGCAGAACAGGTAAAGATGTAACTTTCATTACACACTCAAACCCCATCAAATTCAATAGACTTATGTCATGAAACAGCATTGAAGCTTGTTTTCTTCCTCCTTCTAATTGATATGCCTAGTAACAACAACTTGCTGCCCACAATTATCAATGTTTACTCTTTCTGTATCACTTTCTGGCTCTAAATAGGTGTGGATTTTAACAATATGGTCTTTAAAAAGCTGTTTATGCCCCCTGAGTAGCTCTATTTCACTCAACAAAGTCATCTCTACGTATTTCTAACTTCAGGTCACCTGAAGGACTGCTATCAAATTTAATTAGCACATATGTCAAGTGTTCTTTGGCTAAAAGGAATAACACCATAAAAAAGTTTTAACACTGTCATGCAAAGTTAATATATATATAGATCCATAGATACATCATAGACATACAAACACATGAAAGATGCATGAAATACAAAAGCCTTCAGAAAAATACAGCCTAGTCTATCAGATTTAAAACACACGTAAATGATTCACTAGTTCCTTTAAAATAACTAAATATTGTAAAACTATAAAGGATAAATATAGCAATTATTTCTTAAGGCCTCAAAAGATAGATGCCAATTTCTCATATTTAAGATATGATTAACCAAATAAAGTTTTGCATGAATGAATAAATAAGCCTACATATAGGAATAATTGATTATTGACAATTGGCTAAGGTGTTGATAGTTGTCAACCAGTAAGTGTCTAAGACAAACAAAAATGGAGTATGGAAATAGTAATTCCTGCTTTGAATACTCTAAGATAATTAAGCGTTCCTCACGTAATAGAGACACTAAAATGTAAAAGAAAACATACAGGAAGAGCTGCTTGTTAGCTCATTCCTTTAAAGATCCACAGAAATAAATATTTATACATGTTGTCTGCAAGCTGCCAGGCAACGAGTGACTTTCCATTCCCATCACACAGCTGCCCAGGCTCAGCATTCAATCCGCATCACACTTCAAGAACTGCACCAGAGAAGAGATTGGTCATGTTTAGTAATGCCTAAACTAACATCTAAACTTTGATATTGAGATTAGCCTTCTGTAGAATACACCGATTTCGATTTTTGCTTAATTAAAAAAACCTGTACGATTACCTCAGCACCTATCAAAACACGTCAGTTTGTCAGAAGGCATTCTCACCACCCCAGCAGCTCTCCTAACAGGCATAAAATCAATTCCGAGCGCACTATTTGTAATGATACAGTATCTCTCTGGAAGGATGCTGACATGATGACTGTATTAAACTTGGCCATTTATTTACAGATGTCTAATAGGAACTCTTGAAAGCAAAAAATGATTTATGCTACAATTGACAACTTCCCATAATATAAAATATTCCCGGAAAGTGGTAAAAACAAAAAATAAGAATCAATTTTAGGACACAAGTCTTCCTCACTTGAAGGAAAACAAGCTGCATCAATCCTGAAAATTAAGTATAAAACTGTGAAATCTTTGCATCTGATTAATTCTCCAAAGCCACCTACTCCTCTCCATTCTACTTTCAGTCATGTAAGTCATTTTTAATCGGAGTGCCCATTACAATATATATATGCCTTTAAGAGAGAATTAAAACTATAAAAACTTATTCAAATATAACTGTTAGGGTTAAATCTGGTTTCCTAACAAAAGGAACACCATACTTGGAACATTTTACACCTTTCTTCTTGACGAGTCCCAAACATGTACCAGTGAGCAATAAGCACAACTGCTCACGCCTTACATAGGAAATTCTTGGGGGTTTAGATCAATAAATTCAAGCCCCTGACACGTTAACTGAAACCACTCTTTTTCAATAGTATATGGACTCAATTCACTGCCCATGAGAGACCTTTAACGTTGATAGACTCTACTTAACAATAACATCAATATTTGCTCTTGCTTTTCGGTGTTATTAAACATGCATTTCTCCTGGCTTGAGTCCGCTGTTGCACTTCTACAGTTAGGACTTCACAGCAACCTTATCGGGGAAAATCCACTTTTAACATATTATTTTCCAAAATTTATGTGTTAGGTGGCTATTACTTTCTGACTGAACAGAGACTCCAATTCCATATACAACCTCAAAACATTTCTAGATATTAAAATATGAAGAAATAAACGCATGACTTACTGTCACTACTACTACACAGGGTAACATAGGGACTGTCATATTATCTCTTCCTAGAACTGTTGCATAATTGCATCTTGGCTTATCAAAGGCTGTATTATCATTGGAACTGTATGTCCGTGTACTCCTGCACACTACACACAAGCAGCCCTGTATTTCTTCGGGGTTCTGTATGTATGCCATTGCACATTTATGGTAGCAAACTGGCACGAACATTCTCTGTTTTCCCTTTCCAGAAGGGAAAGAATAACTACTCCGTTAGAAGTGTAAAAAGAATTGGTTTATTGTTTTTCCTGTCAGTTCCCCCAAAGTTCCAAATTAACTGAAAGACATCATCTTTGAGCTTATTTTGAAATTAAACATTATTTAGAATTGAAATTGAGTTTTTTGGGGGGTTTGTTGTTAGTTTGGCTTTTTTTTTTTTTTTAATGACAAACAAATATTCCAATGCTTTCATTTTATTCTTCTGGGTTGTATCCTAGTTTCCATTTAATAATTTGTGCGTCCATTGATCAATCTCTGCCTAGTACACTTGAAAAATTAAAATATGTGCTGTCCAGAATTTTGCTTAAGTCAGGCCTCAATCACATCTATATGTTGCTCAGGAGTCTTCCAGCATGCAGTGTACCAATAACATGCATTCAGGAAACATGGTACAGAAAATTTCTCTGATTAAACAAAAAAACTGCAACAGTTTGCCCTGCTGTTTCTTAATTTGGCTGGTTTTGTGCTTTTAACTGATCAGAACCTTTAGTGACTGCAACTGGGCAAGATGCTGGTATCGTCTCTCAAATCAATCTGTAATTTCTCACCATGATGTACCACATTAAAACCCAGTTGCAAGACACGGGAAGTCTGTATTACAGCCAAACAGTTATTAAAAACAGTTTGAAACAAGATTAGCTCTGCGCTGTGACAATACAAAAGCTTCACAGGTCACTACCAAACACAGAGTGTTGACAAACTGCATTTGTCAGCAAGGAGATCCCTCCTCCTCACCTCACCATCAGTATTCTTCATTTCACTCATTTGTACCCTTACTTTTCCTATTAAAGCTAAGTATTTCCAAAGTTTTTTCACTCAAGGCTCACAAAGCAATACAAAATTATTAAAGGCATATATTTACTGATAGCAAATTTATACTTACTACCAAATATCCCATTAATAGTTTTAAAGTAACAGTAAAAATTTCACCTTTATTACAACCTCATCACAGATTATTTTTTAGAATCATAAACCATATCAAAACTTGGGGAATCAAACCATCTCAACAGCATAAAAGAACTATTTTTTTAAAAATAGGAACAAAAAAAATCCCTTTTTACTTAATCTTTTTTGTAACTGCAAACTTTTTCAAAACTTTTAACTATTCAACATAAAGCTTACAGCAAAAATGCCTGGACATCCTCTTGCCCATTACAAGGTATTTTGTAGTAGTACATACATGGTGGCTTATAGTCTTCCTTCAATAAAGCTGAGGGAGCTAAAGGGAAAAAAGGCACAAAACCTCTCCAGAATAACCTCTAGGAGTAACCACATTTATCTGTCCATGATCAGGATAAAAAATATGAAATTATCACACAAGTGCCATTTCCCACTTTGCCAGCAGCATCAGCCAGCAATTCCCTTTTGTTTGCTCCACTTACAAGTGGCATATATTCTTCTTATCTCTGCATGCAGTCTTTCTCTAGATTTGGAACTTCCCCCAAACTCAGAGATTTATTCCTTCCCTTCACTGAAGTTTACAAGAATGACATCAACTGTTTCTAAAAAACCATCCATTTTCTCTGCCATGAGCAAAGCTGGCACTTTGCTGGACAACTGCAGGTAAACTCTCAGTCACCTTACCACGGTACTGCAAACGCATCCTCTGAATTACTGTTGCTTAAATGCACACATAGGTACGGAGCAAATACAGGACAGCCTGACTTACCTTAGCCCACAGTGAATTTGACTATAGTCTATTTGTGTAGCCTAGTCTACTACTGAACCTCCCTCACAGCAAACCAAACAGACTGTAAGGATTAACCTTTCTGTGTTTTCCCCAAAGAAAAACAGTCACAATAACCTGTTAAGCAGAGTTAGAATGTGTAGTTCAAGCAGCTACCACCCTTTAACGATATTCAGTAACTACCCACTTGAACTCTTAAACTTGTCTCATGCTCTAAAATATTAAGGGACAGTTTGCATTAATCTCTTTTGTGCTTTGTATTCAGCCTACCTTCAGTGTCACTTTAAGTCCATCCTTCACAAAGTTTACTTTGCATTAGAACGGACCCATAGAGGCAGCCAGCTTATCTTGCTACGGAAGCAAACCACTAAATGCACCTGCAAGGGTTTACATAATTATATCCAAACGCAATATATTATGTGTTCAATATCCAGGATCTCTCTCTCTCTCAACTCCTGCACACATCATTTGGTATTATTTATTAATTTTAGTTAATCAATTTTAACTTGTAAGTCAGCATCATTGTATGTGTGGTAATACACTTCTTTGAAGCACATACTGCTGCATTGCATAAGACTGCCCTAAAGTAACTCATGTACGGAGAGTAATAATGTCAGGAAAACTGACTTGCTCCTAACACTGCCAAACAATTCTAAACACAACCTATTTATCACACAAACTGGTTCTCTCCTGAAACATACACTGACAATATCATCTGAAGAATTAAATCCTCTCACCGTTTATCACTTCATAGGTACAACTTGATCCAAAACATACTGTAATCACTACTTACTGTGCTTCACAACTATTCTGTGTATTAGACTCTAAAAAAAAAAAAAAAAAATAAATCTAAGTGCCCTGAACTGAAAATTAAATCACTTGTCTAGAAGCCCATATGTGAAAGTGGAACCTTAACAGTTTTGTTTCGGTTTGTTTTTTCTATGTTAGTCTGAACAGCTGAAGTTGACATGGTTTCTTTTCCCACCTCCTAGAAAAACTTTTTACTAGGATATCTCATGGAACTGAGTGCTGAAAGCGGGCTCATACAGCATTACTCATCATAAGAGTGGAACACTCAGACCTCATAGGCTAAAAACCAGGTAGAAATCTGGTAAAGAAAAGTATTTGAACACAAGCACAGAAAGCAGGGAAAAACTAGCAACTTATCTATCAAGTACAGATAGTTATAGGAAGAAAAGGTACACACTGAATTTTCTTCCTCCTCTTCTAGTTCTCTCTGCTGTTCCTCATGTCGCTTTGCCTTTATTTCCATAGCTTCAGTGATCAGGTCCCTTAAAATTGAAACTGGCTTGGCATTCTTAATGAATGTATGCTAGGAAAAAAAAAAATCATTAAATTATATAACATCATTACAATAGTTATGCTTCAGAAGCAATTACAAGTATTATTTAACACCACAGATTTCAGCGATAAATAGTATTTTACATTACACAGTAATTAAAATCTACACTAACACAACATACAATACCTCTTAGCTGCTTCATAAGTAAGATTTTACTTTAACTATTTTTAGTAACAGCAAACCTTGGGAAATTTAAACATAACACAACTGTTTTACAGTTAAGAATATAACTGTCCAAAGGAAACATGCAGTAAGTTGTAAATAGAGTGGTGATTGTCTGACAAGGAAAAACAAGTTCTGTAACTGAATATCTGAAAAAGTTTAATTAATCTCAACAAACTGACAGCATAAATTAGTGGCTGTAAGCAGAGCAGCTATGGCTGCCTACTTCAACAAGCCTGTTCTTTATATGTCATAAAACATTTCTTGATCTATGATGCTGAAATGTGGAACAAGCCAAAAAAATACTTTTCGTAGGAAGATTAATTTTTAATTCAAGGCCATTTAAAACATCACTTCTTCCCTTCAGGCAACGTGTGCACGATACCATTTAAATCCATTTTGCTGTCTAGTAAACACCTGCTGTTAGAAAAATTCTGATTTTTTGCATCATTATATACGAATACAATTTAGACAAAATGTAACTCTAAGCACCTCAGAAATATATTATTTAATATTTAAGAACTGTTCCCCAAAGAACAGAAGTGATGAAGACTAGTTTCCTACACCTATTATCTATCTTCTCACTTGATATATTAATTCAATTACTTTCCTTTTCCCCAATAATCTCCTCCCACAAGCAGTACTTTCATTCCCACTCACACACACACAGCACCTCCAGCTCCATCGCACATGCCCCAAATTCCAGCTGGGGGAAAAGGCAACACGTACTTGTGCTGGACACAGTATTTGGTTTTCTGGTGAGTAAGCAGGGGGAAAGAGAATACTGAGCTTCAACACACACACTCACACTCCCCTTACTTGCACACATTAATCCAAGTTTCTTCCATCCAGCTGCTGGTATTCAGCTAATCATATGAACTTCAAATATTTAAGGTCTCAAGTACTGATTCACACATCATATGAAAACCTGTAACTTCCAATCTTTACTCTCCTTGTAGTCTGCAATATGGTGTCCTCACAGTGTGGAAAGTAAAATATTCATAACATGGCTTACAATTTTGATGATCTATTACTGGAAACTACTTTGCAAAATTTTTACGTTCTTGTAGTGGAGTTCACTGGCATTTAAATTTTAAGAGAGGCTATTGCTAGGCAGAGACAGAATAGCAAATCTAGCATAAGTGTCTCAAAGATAAAATTTCAGAAGATCAGATTCTTATGCAGACAAATGAACAAAGAAAACTGAGAATAATATTTACCAATAGTAGTGAAAAGCATAAAATAACACTAAATTATCCAAAAGTTTAATGAATTAGGAATCAGGAAAGTCAAAGAAGCAAAGGACCTAGCAAAATCTTTCACTTCTGTCTCATGATCAAAGCAAGTTTATTTACAGGAAATTTTAGATTCCATCTTAATCATCATGGAACCCCTCCCTTCTCTGTTTTTCTTCAGGTACTTGTTTGCTTACTATGACAGCCCTGAAGGCAGTGGATAACACAAATACAGGGAGGAGAAAACTTTCCTCAACTTTTCTCTCTCCCCCCCACGCTGAAATGTGTGGCCCCTGTACAATTATGTCTGTTTCACAAAGACTAAATCTTTGATAGATCAGTCCCTCCCGTTGGATTTTTGTAGTTCTTTGAAATTTCTCTGCTTTATTTCTTTCTCAGTACCAAAAAGGTACAACTACTAAATTTCTGCAGCTACTAGAAGCTCAGGTCAGCGAGCAGGCTAAAGCCTAGCACGCCCTGCCCTAGCTCTGCAAGTCCACACCGCCAACTGGGGCTGGAATTTAAAAGTGCCCGCTTGGTCTAACTCAGCCCAAGAACAAACTCTTTCTACTGTCCATCTGCATCAGACGCTTCTAGGACACAAAGCAACCTGTCTCCTTAATTTGTCACGACCAGAAAGGCAGCCTGAACATGCTCCATGGGTGGTCCACACTTGTGGGGTAACCTGGACTCAATTCCTTTACTCAACACTTGCCCAAATCCTGAGATCTATTGAGGGCCTCTAGGCACAAAGCAAGGATTCCATTTTAATAGCAAGAACCAGCCCTAAACTGTATAAAGAGCAATTAATTTTTAGAAGCAGCAAAGGAGAAGTAAAATGGGGGTAGAGATACAGAAGCTGACAGAGAAAAGACCACAAAGTAGAAAAGAAATAAAGCATGACACTAGTTAAAATGAGATTTGCCCTCAGGAATTTTCACAACAGTTCTGGTTTGAGACTAGAGGAAAAAAGCCATAAAACTTGCATTTCCTCAGTAACTTAAATACTGACCTGTAGCAGCTGTGTTGCTGTAGCTCTTTGTTCAGGATTTTTCACTAAGCATTTCTTCACAAAATCTGTGAATTCATCAGACCAGAGCTCTGGTTTCCGGAAGGTTGGAGGAGGATTTGTAGGAATCATAAAAATAGCCTAGATAAAAATCAAACAACAATAGCAAGTTTAAACAAAACACATCATCACAGCACCGAAGCCAAGTAAATAGATTGCTTTATCCACCTTTCTTATCAGGCTAAGAATATGGAAGACAAATTTTAAGTAAGCTAGGATTTCCACTCAGATCAAGATTCAGGAAGCAAATCCATCTGCTACTAATGTAGCTACTTCCCATTAGATTTCCTCTATTTAAAATGTATCCTATTGAGCACATTATTTTATCTGTTGCTGTTTATCAATCTCCAGAGATGATTTTGTTCTTTCAGCAATGACAGCACTGCTTGTTTAAACAGACACGTATAAAGTAGCTGTGAAAAGGCAATCACCTTTCACCTTCTCCCTTAACTGCATTTAGTCTTCTAGGAGAATAGCTTTGGAAATTTGGTAGGATTACTATTTCCTTTTGCATCCTTAATTCTTCAGATGTAGTTTTAAAACTTGCTTTTCCTAGTAAGATTTAGAAATGTATGCTCAAAGACCTAAGCCAACACTAAAAGATAACAAAAATAAAACAAGTAACTTGTCTACTAGCAGTGAGAATTTACTTGAAATTGAAAAGCCAGCACTTTACCTATATAAAAGAAATTTCACACTGTTGCAAACCATATGCAGACAGATTTTTCAACTAGGAAAAAAGATTCACAGAATCACAGAACAGTTTGGGTTGGAAGGGACCTTAAAGACCATCCAGTCCCACCCCCTGCCATGGGCAGGGACACCTCCCACCAGCCCAGGTTGCTCAAAGCCTCATCCAGCCTGGCCTTGAACCCCTCCAGGGATGGGGCATCCACAGCTTCTCTGGGCAACCTGGGCCACTGCCTCACCACCCTCACAGGAAAAAACTATCTTCCTAATATCTAATCTAAATTCCATTTGTTCATTTCATTATCTGCCTAATACAAGAAGTACAAGACGAGACCTGGGCATTTTGTTGAATACAGATGTATGCTGCAACAGCTTTCTATTTTCAGTGAGCAGCCGTGCCAAACAAGTATATGAACCCAGATAGGAAACGCGGCACTCCACTACCCTGTCACTGGCCTTACCTACTTCACTGGTGATACAAGATTGTCAGTACAAGAGAAGTGCTTCTGGTATAAAGTAGTGCCTAACAAATTCCGCTGTTTCTGTCCTTGAAGGTAATGATATCTTCTGAACTTTGAACTGATGACTTTTAATCTTATCTTTAGCTGCTCTTAACAGCTAGCTCTGCAGTAGCCATTGAAAACACACAGCTGTAACGCAAGGCTAGTAACTTCTGTTTACGTGGTGTCAAAACGTATATCTCCTGTTTGATAATGAACATTGACCTGTCTCTCAGCAGGTAAGCAAAGCTTAGTTTCAGAGTTCTACTCAGCTCAAACGTTCTGGGAAAAATATTTGCTTTTGCCAATTACTTTCATCAACTACAGAGCAATTAGGAACCACAGCAAAGATGTGACTTCTTTATAATTCACAGAGGACAACCAGAAGAAAGAGGGAATTCATGAATCATTCTTTTATGGCAGGCAATAAAAGTCACAAAAGGAGATATTCAAGAGCCAGAGTTAGGGTCCTAAATCCACATGTATGCTTTGTATGTTTGTTGAAAATACCTACTTCAGAACCATGTATATTTATTTAGTGCTTAAACTGTAGACTTTTTAAAATCTTGGTATGTGACATAAGCTGTGTTAGCTACAAAAAAAAAATTTAGACGTGTTTTTGTAATACAAGAAAACATATAGAAACTACTTACTACAACTGTTGAGCCCAACTTGTTAATTATGCCAGGCACCTGCCAGCTTCTACCTCTCTCTCCCAGCTCTCAGCACTCCCTTTTGTTAACCAGCCTGAAATGCTGGTTTTCACTTCCATCTTCCCCCTCTACTTCCCCATTTTGGCTTGCATATTTCTCTGCATAAAAGTTAAGCTCCCTTTCTCTTTCAAAACACTATGATTTAGCTTCCAGCTACTTCTGTCTCCTTCCAAGAAGTCTGCAAAGCAATCACTGGAGAATTATAAAGCTAGTCCCAAATCTCCAGGAATAAAAACAAAATGTTTATCTGACAGGAACTTATTCTTCCTTTTTTCCTTCCATTTCTTGTCAAATACATCTTTCATATCCTAGAATAACTCTGTTCTATATTAAAACAAAACTTAGCTTATTCAGTCAGTAGGAAATCTAAGAGATGTTTTTTTCATTCTTCTTTCACCTTACCCTGCATTTCTCCACTCCCTGTTTCTGCCAAACTATTACCTGTAGTATTTTTTTTGCTTCCACTCCAGTTCCAATTTTCTCTGAAAGCTTCCCACAGCTATTGGTATCAGCTCAGCTCTCACTGTAACTACAGCTGACGGCGGTGCTCATACAGCCAGTGTTAAGCAACAGTGGGAACTGTTGCTTAAAAGAAAAACCAAACCAAACCAACACCACCAGCTAGCACTGAACATAAGCTACTACCCACCCAATTTACACAAGCTGAACTGGCAGTAACAACTGCAGGAAATGTTAGGAGGAAATAGTCCAACAGAGGGGGCAGGCTCTGACATACTGCCAAAGAGCAGGGGCTAATTCTCACCTTCCACATTTCCCTTCATATCTGCCACAGACTGGCAAGTCTTATTCAAGTAACGCATCAAATATATAGTAGTCAAGCTGTTAAATCGCATGATTCAGTCTTCTGCTTTAACCATCCAATCATCCTTAAAAAAAACCAAAAAAACAAAAAAAAAAACCCAAAAAAAACACCTCTAAAGCTGCAAGACATCCGAACTCGGGCCTGAGGGACCAGAGCAGCTTAATCAGTGTGTGTCTTCACCTGTCTGTAACAGAGAGCCCATTCCAAATTTGTCCTGACCCGGCCCTTCCACCTCTGAACCTTGAGCCCAGCTCTCTCCTTGCAATCATCTTCCACACGTTGCTCTGGGGTAAGTCCTGCACCCTGCAGTGAAACCAGAATCCACAGCGAACTACAGCATCTACGTGCAAAAGGATGTGGGGAGGGAGGGAGATACATCATCCAGGGCAGCTTTCAGTGGCCACCTCTCAATGTGGCACTGGACAATCTCACACAGTTTCTACCAGAACTGTCGCCTGGCAACCAGCAGTTACGGTGAAGCTGAGGACCAGGTCTCACATGAGAGCAGAACTGCACGAGTCAGCACATTATTTTCTTTTTATTATTCTTAAAAGGCCTAGCATTTTAAATGAAGTCCAGGCTGAAAACATTTTTTTCATGAAGGTTCTTTTATGGACAGTTTTATTGGCATGAAAATGTAATCAGATGAATCAGGAAACGCCAAAAGAAAAATGAGACCCTCATATACTGCATGTGGAATTTCCTAATCAGAAAATCCTTGCAGCTCATTCTTCCTGTCAGTCAGGGTAATACATCTGCATTTCACACAGCTCACGAACACATTAATGATCACCAGTAATTTGGTAGAGGTACTATGTCTTCTGGGTTTTAGCTCCTTGAATAACTTCTCTACTGCTTAGTTTAAATAAATTATTTGTAACAAATAGTAGGAAACGAAAACAGTAACTTTTACTGTTATTATTTGCCCAGTATCATGAATGCTACTGAAGGAGACAAAGATTTTTATATTGTGGCAATTTTACAATTGTCACGTGGTGAAGCTCCATTTGTAGAATCTACAGAGAAACTTTTTTAGAGTTTGGTAAGGATACAAGACATTCACAGGCAGCTAGTGACTCTGTAGCTTTTGGCACCACAATTATACTAGTTAGTTTATCAATCTACTGCAGAAAAAAACCCTCCAAAATACATTTATAGTCAGTAACATATTTTAGAGTACGAAGTCCTATTCAAGGTTGAATACTGTAACATGTCATAGAACTTCCCTCTCCTCTTGAACAGCCTTCAAAAAGGCTATGGAAACACCACTAATGATCCACACAATTCAACAGCTGTCTAGAAATGAAACACCAGCATGGACAAGAAGGGTGAGATACGAGCAGGTTCTACATTGGTTTGGCTTTGTTGAGCTTTTTTAATTCAGAACTACAATACTGCAGTTTTTTGCAAAGCTTTGTGAAAGTTACAGAACAATGCCTCAGGTTTAAAATGCAGTTTTTTTGCAAAGCTTTGTGAAAAAGTTACAGAACAATGCCTCAGGTTTAAAGACAAGGAAGTCGGTTTATGATCTGCTTTGGTGTAGATAATACATTTAACTGTCAGAAGCACCCTAAAAATCACCAGCTTCCTCCTGTCCGCAAATGCAGGAGTTAATGTAGAAGCACCCTAAAAGTCACCAGCATCCTCCTGTCCGCAAATGCAGGAGTTAATGAAGATCTAGTGGCCTCATACTTTTTGTGCAAAATTACAAAAAAGACTGGTTCCATCAGACATCTATCAGATACCTGATCCAAGGAGATTCTCAACATCCCTTGACTTTGATTCTCAATATCCTCCAACTTTACTCAAACCCCTAACTGGAATCTGAACATGTGATTCAAAATGTTTGAAAAGCTTCATTATCTTTCCGTGTGAAATATTACTCATGTTGAAGCAGCTAATAGCAATTTTTTATTTCTTTTTAGAAAGAAAAAAAGTGGCTTCTTACTCATGCACCAATTGTCACTCATCCAACTACACCTTTCCTTTTTTTTGGAGGTGTAAGTGCTGCTCTTTAATAATTTCAGTGATAAGGGCAACATGAACTACAGAGATTCATAAGGAATCACTCAAGTAAAAGCTGTGCATCCTATGGCCCATGCAGCGTTATTTTCTTCATTTTTCACTGCCTGTCTCACACCTCACATACTTCTAACAGAGAAGAGGCTTGAAAAAACACACTAAAACGAAGCATTCACTACACTTTTGCACAGGAAAAGCTGAACAGTTTACCCTGAATTAAAGACTAGAGAAATGCAAAAGCTGTCCAAGTTTCATCCTCTTAATTTACCACTAACACTTTTTTGAAACGGTGTGTCATGAAAAGCATTTACTGAATACATGTTCAGTCATCAA